TCTCCGTACCTGCCATGGTCAGGGAGAGCCAAGAGCGTTTCTACGCGTTTTGGTTGCAGAATGGATGTGAATAGATAGATGTCTGCTTGCAATGTGGTTTTGAACATGCCCAAAACATACCAACTGACCCAAAATTTTTGACTCTCCATTAATTCCCTTCATACTTCCCACACACAGGATTCAGATTTTTTGGCTTTCTGGCCTGTTTCTTGCCAAAGCACTGGAAACAGAGCCATACCAGCACCAGAGGCAACATAAGAAAGAACCATCTTCTCATAAAATACAGACTGTTACCTATTATTAAAAATTTGATGTCAAGATTTTAGAGATACTACGGGAAAATACTGCAACTTAATTAAGTATTGAAGTTAGGAAAGCGATTAGTCTTGAAAATTCACACTCTGGTAAGGTAAAAGTACAGAATCAATCTGAAAGTGAGAAGTAGAAACATAAGACTGGAACAGGATAAACAAAAAAAAGAGGAAGGCATTTCAAGGATATTGCTCAAGAATAATGATGAGTAAGAAAAGGAGCACTGTGAGAAAGGCCTATGAAGATGCAAATGAATGGCAACAGAATATTCAGTTTCTCCTTAAAAGACAGTTAAGCTGTGGCCCTGTGAAAGCCCACTCAAAAGTTGTCCTCAGAGCCCTCTACTCTCAGTTCCCCTCCTTTTTTCCTTCAGTTATATGTGCTCGCTGTGTTCTACCAGGCCTGGAGCTAAGCCACAGTCCTCTCTTGAAGAAGCCCCTCCTTTCTAACTTTTATCTGGCTCAGAGAAGAGGATCAATACGAGCAGTTTTTTCTTACTCGTGATGCTCAGAACCATACCATGAAGAAAAAGTTTGTAGCAAAACTCTTGCCTTGCTATTCATTGAAAAGGATCATGGCCAATTTTTTTTTTTTTTTGTAATTCACATGTGCCTACTTTCCAGCCTCTATCCCTCTTAATACATCTGCCACCATCTTCTCATCTGGAAGCATTACATGCTGTTTGCTTCCCCCCCAAATCTCCTCTCTCCTTTCCAGGCCCTTCCTATCCCCACTCCCAGCCCCCACACATGCACACACATGTTTCTTAACAGCTCATCTCAGCCGTGGGAAGATAAACTGTGTGGTTGCCACATCCAGGGAAACAGAACTGGCAGGGAAACAACTTCAAGGGAGACACCACACACCCCCTTCTCCCTCACAGTCGCAGTTTCTCCCACTAAGAATAAAGATGTACCACTTCTCTGTGTCTCTTACAGCATACTCTGCCCTTGCTGCTGTTGACTGTTACTCCTTCTCCGTGACTCCTGAGTTTTGTTGTTACTCAGCAACACGAAGATATCCAGCAGGCCTCGACATCTACACCATACATAGAAACTCTACAGTTCATAGGACAGCCCAAGACACTACCTCAGAGAGCCTACAGCTCTATGTCTTTACCTCCTATTGGAAAGCACTAATGTATAATTGTAGAGCTTGCTAACAGTGCTTTAAAGAGCCCTAAGATTGTTGGGCAAGAAACAGATTCCTCATCCAGAGAAAAACTGATACCTCTAATTAATATATCCTAAGAATAAATACAAATTATATTTTGTCTTTGTAGTAAGATGTCAACTAGATAAGCCTTTCAAGCCACAATCCATATGGTAATTAGACCAACACATAGGGAGTTATGGGAATAAGCAACATGCATTTGTATCTGGAATCAGCAATGATTTCATCCTTTTGAGGTCAGTAATGAGATAACAGTCATCAAATTCAAATTAACAGTCTAGAGTCAGATAGAAAAATTATTTCTGAAGGCCATTCTTTCCTGGGTTTTTCTAATTCATATGCAGTACTTAGTACTACTTGTTCTAGAAGTACTGACTACATACTGCTCTTAAGATTTAGTGAGCTCAGAGCAACAGAAAAATAGACCAGCCTTCCAAAAACAGACTCCTCCACACACCTGGAGAAAATAAAAAAATAATTTTTTTTTTCATCGTTATTGCTATAAATGTTGAAGAAGAGGATTATTGCGCCTTGGAATTTTTCATGACAACAGTGTAAGGCTGATTTAAAGCATTGAGAGTCAGGTCCCATCTACTCCATTTAAAACCACATAGTTTTAAAAGGAACATAAAAATCACTCAGTAAGCTGACTCATCCATTACGACAACTTAAATATTTAAACTGCTGATACTTATCTTCAATGTGAGCCAAAGTGGATTCCATCAAAGCTGGATTTATTGCAATCTGGTTTCTATTTATTCTTGTGCAATGAATTCGATTTGCAATTAGATCTTTTAAAATCTGTCACTGGATTAGTTTAAACAGCCATTTAGATCCAATTCCTAGAGAATCAAAATCTGATATTTTAGAGAGTACTGTGTCAAAGGACTTCCATAAAAGTATGTTTAATTTACAGTTTTCATTAAAAGCGAGAACACATACATAAGTCATTGAAATAAACAGACACACAGCTGCTAAAATGAGTGAGGAGTTTATGAGGTCAAAGCCTCCTGGTATCACCTGGTCTAATACTGTTATCCGGCAATTAAGAAGTTAAACTTGTAACCCAGGGAATAAGCGAACTGTAAAATAGTGCTGGATCAGTCTGTCTTTCGAGACAATGGGGAGTGATTTACCCCTCATCAGGGACTTCAGGAACTTCTGTCCTTGAAGCACAAAACATGCTGGAGCACTGGTGCTTTGTTATCACAAGCCCTAAACCTGCTAGATCAGAGCGTCCTTAGGATAAACTATTTCAATATAAAGTGAAAACCACACCTCCAAGCGTCTGGACGACCCTCCCTGAACTAAGACCCTCGCTCACCGAGCATGTGTAGTAAATTCAAGGAACACTGTTTCTAAATCAAAGAAACAAGAAAAGAGCTAACCAACTGCAGTTAAGAACAGAAAAGAACTGACCAATTATAGTTAGAGGGATGTGGCAAAGAAAACACAGCTAACATTCTGAACTGTATAATACACAATACGACTGTAACTGGGTAGGCTAGCTTTGTGGATTACCACTTAGCATCCATATCTGCGCAGAAACGCAACAAAATGATACCTCGACTCTGTGCGTGGATTAAGTAGTTGCACACAGGGTGGTGGACTCCAATTTTGGGACAACAGTACCACGATCTCAATGAATCATATCTGTATCATGACGGATAGCAATTTGAGCTTTTACTGAATCCCCAAAAACAGAGGACTACCATGTAACCTGATTTTTCTTTCTGAACATTTAGATTGGGGGTTTTATATGGCAGATCAAGACCAAAAGCACATTCTGTTCCTGCTTCACCACTATATAGGACCTAACTCCTGTAACTGCAATATATCCATGATTTCTTACCATCTTTGCAAACTTGAAGAAGCACTGAGGAGTACATTTAATTACTGGCTGACCCAACTGATCCATGCACCACTACTGTACCCCTGCCTCCTAGCTGAATCTCAGCAGAAAGGAACCCATAGCCATGATCTAATCCTCTCAGCTAACAACAGGGCACAGCGCAACACAAGCATCCCAGTGGCATGACCTAGGGGCAACTGGTCAGTCTGCACATGATGCCATTCCTTTTACTTTTTCCACCTTAATTCCCACAAAAAGGTATGCTAAAGGAAGCCAAGATTAGTCCTATTTTCTAAAACATGACAAATATCTTGTAACACTTATTTGCCATAACACAAAGGTTTGAAAGACCTATACTGTTTATCAATAAACTATATTACTAGATTATATAATACCCTCTGACAAATGGTACTTCAATTAATTCCTTCTACCAACAATAATTTTCTGCCTGCATGTTAAAACCTCATCTAGATGGGCAAGAGCACAAACACTAAGCGGAGCACATGCGGTGTTATCTGCCTAAAAGGAAATGCATTAACCCAGACCCTGCTGGTGCTGGAGCATCCGCCAAAGGATGGTTGTGATTATCATCTAGCTTTAATCTCTGAAACTCTGAGAGTGGAAATTTCCCCGCCCTAGCATACCCAGAGCCTGTGGGACACCTTCCTACAGACTGGCAGGGCACAGCACAATTCCTGCACAGGTGGGGACAGTGACAGTCTGAGTCAGAGGCATGAGCTAGGAAGGGGTCCCAACACAGATATGGATATATTCAGTGACCCCTTTTCAAAGGCAAAGTCCTCCAGGAAAATCAGATTGTGTGGGGAGCTGAGGGGTTACGAAAGATAAATAAATCTTTGGCATCATGGAGATTTTCCCACCCTCCAAGCCATTGTCCAGAAAACTTTAATAGTACAGCAATATTTCACAGTAAGTTCTTTGATGCCAATATTCCAAAACATTAAAATTGTGCAATTACTCTTGAAAATTAACATTCCCTTCTCCTCTTGCCTCCAAAAAGGCCTGTGACTAGGGTACAGTTTTGGCCAGTCTTCCTTATTTGCTCAGATGCTTTCTGAGACCGCCTTCTGTTTTAAAAGCCAGATCCAAGAACAGACTTCAGCAGAACGTACAGTTCAAGTCCAGACACACAGAACCCTCCCTTCTTTCCCATTTAATTTAACCTTGAAGAGATGAATGTATTTTTAACAAAATGCATTTAAAACTGTCAACGAGTTACGAGCTGTAGGCATGTAAATAAGAAAGGGTAAAGGTTGAACTAACAGGGCACAGCAAGACTTTTACTTCCACTTTGTCCTTCACATGTTTTTGTTATGCCTCAGTTTCACCTTGTGAAGAGATAAGGCACTGTAAAAGTGATTATACTCTATGCTAAAGTGAAGCGCTAGTTTTGATTTAAGCACAATTAAAATGAGTTGCAAGAGGATAACTGAATTTATTTGCTCCTTAACAGTATTCACAAATAAATCAATTAAGCACCTGCAAATGCACATCAGACAACTGAATTAATTTTAACTGGTGTAACAGTGGACAGCTGTATTTTACATTTTCAGTGTACCGGAAACTTCTCTAGTGCTACAAGTTTAATTAATAAAGTGCATTCAAAACCTTGAGAAGACAGATGAATTAGTATTATCTTATTTCAATGTAGGTTTAACCACTTAAATAGAGAAGACTTCCACCCAAACCTTTTAACATTTTCCTCTTCATTCTCCTTTGTGTCTGAATTGGAAGCCTCTCTGTTTTCCATCAAAGCTTCGTAAGTCTTTTGTGCTCGAACAATTTCTTTGTCTGCACTGAAGTGCACCATTTGTCTGCTCAGAAGAGGAACAACTAAATTGAAGTTGTCAATTCTTTTGTTTAATTTCCTGATATCTTCTGTAAATTGCTCACAAATACGATTCCACTGCTTTTGCCTATACGGTGTCATCGGCTCACCAAGGTTTCTTCTAGATGCCACTACACTCTTCCTTAATTGCTCAATAGTTTCCCGTATTTCTTTCTGCATCAGGATCCACTCTGGCTGGTATCCATTGTCTATCAGAATCCTGTTCAAGTTGTGAGTCATAGGGTCGATATGTGGACAATCTGAAAATTTCTGCAAAGGTTTTCCTTTGCCACTGAGATTGTCAAAGTCTCCTTTCGCCATCGATTCCTGGATGAGGTCCTCAACTAACCGTTCAACTGCCTGAGTTATTTTCACCTTTTTGCTCTGCCTCACATCTTTGGCTTTCATCAGGTCAGTCACAGCGTACTGGCTTTCAAGCCTCTGCTTCCGGTACTCCAACACTTGTTCAGTTGCACGGTCTACTCGAAATTGCATATATTGCTTTTCTCTTTGGCTTGGTGTTCCAAACCCAACACCTTCAAAACTCAAGTAGTGTCTATGCTGTGGTGCTTTTGATTTGGACTGGTCTTCCTCCTCTTCATTATTCTCATTTGATCTCTTTTTGGTCGCCACATCACTGAGCACGACTCTGTATGCTTCTTCTACTTTCACAAATGCTTCAGAATCAGCTGTGGTAGAACCACTGTCAGGATGGTACTTTTTGGCAAGATTTCGATATGAGTTTCTGATATCATCAAGGGAACATCCTTCCTCAAGCTCAAGAATTTTGTAAGAGTCCTTGACGTTGCTTTTAGGTTTGTAACCCGACAACATTCTGTTGCCACAAATGGAGGGAAACGGCTTCAGATTTCTTGGAACCATTGCTGGATGTACCATTAAATGATGCCCTATGTTGTTAGTCAGCATGACAAAGCCACTTTATATTTCTTCAGATGCAGCTACATTATAAACAATGACCTATAAACACATTTTTATAAATATTGCGTTAAATATGCTACATTATTTAAGTCTTAGCTTTAACTTGTTATATAATTTAAAGAAATCTCTACAAAATTTCAGAACAGCATACAATGTTCTTTTCTTTTACAGATTAATATTGAAGTCTGCATTTTTTATTTACTACTATTGAAGTGGTAGCATTACAATGTAAAGGAAAATTAATCACAATATCATTTTCTCCTGGTATAGCAACAGTAGCATAGGATTGGTTTGCACTGCAAAATTCACAAAAGGCTTTATTGCCTTTCTGCAAACTCAGTGCAATGTGAACTGGAAATCTGCTTTATGTTGAGCCATAACTGTGCTGAAACAAATCTCTCCCTTTTCCTCTACACAACTACATTCAGCCATCAACTGAATTTTCTATTCACATGCATCAGTGCCTCAAGACATACTACCTGGTGCATTCTTGAAGGATTCCATTACAATACCCTTTTGGTATTTTGCAGCAACCAGTGAAGTAGTGTTCAGATTATAGATTCATTTAGATTAACTCTTGTATCCCAGCAGGGCTCTCACATCCTAGTGGCCAACCTCCTTTGTTTGTGTCAGGTAAGGTTATAAATCTGGAACTCAGAACAGATCAATAGCAGACAGCATCTCATTCTGTCAGGTATACCATTGCTTCTGAATTATTTTGGGAAACAGCAAAAGGAACACCTTTAGTAAATGTCAACATACGTAAATCTTCATATAAAACTAAAAGTAGAAAAATATCGTACAAACTGCACAGATAAGTTACACATCAGCTAACTTCTCTTTATTAATGAAAACCCTAAGACCATGCTGCATGCATGGTGCTAAAGAGTGTCCTTTCACAGATTCATCAGTGACTGCAACATATCCTCTGCCAACTTCCTTTCCAAACAAAAAGCTAGGTTAGATCAAGGTTAGGTTTAAGGAATAAATAGCATTCATATGTTTGCATATACCAAACTGTCCTGCACTAACCCATCTGAAAAAAGCAGGGAGAGAAGATGTAGTTGGGACTGGATGAAAGACTGGATCAATCCTGAATGATTTCACTTGATTTTTACCCGGGTAAGGTATTAAACCATCAGTTTGTGGTTATTATAATGGACCTTATTAACTTTTTTCCATTTATGATATAGTGATTTCTCTCCTAGGCGGTTGGCAAAGATAATTTAGTTCTATACAGCCAGAAAAATCCACATAACTACTAGAATGGAAAGATAAACACACTCTTGAAATTCAACATATCGATCAAAAGCAGACATCATAATCCCGTACACCTGATTTTAATATACTTGTGCTTAAAAAACTGTATCAGGCTGCATGGAGTACAGCCCACAGCACCGCAGGCTGCCTGTTGGGGGGATTTTTATTCCCCGGCCGTTTGAACTCAGCTCTCCCTGCTGGGGCCAGGTAAGCGGGGGACAAGACCGCGCACTCCCCGCCCCCGGCAAGGCCGAGGAGGGCGAGGCCTAGCCCCCGAGACGGCCT